ACAAAATCATTTAAGGTTTTTTTGATAGTGGCATATATTCTATCTTAGAAAAGTTAAGTCAAAAAAATCGCAAAAAATCGCAACTTTAAACTTATTGGAAGCATATGTCTCCATGCGTATGTGTATAGTAAGATCCTTTATGTGGATACTTCTCATAAATTAATTGTTATAGTAGCTAGAGAAGAACTTGAAATATAAAGTTACTTAATTTTTCTCAAGATTTCCGAAGAGAAGAATTTTAAATGTCAAATGACATTTTTTAACAAATTGACAAATTTTGACAGTACCTAATTTTTTAAATTAAATGAAATGGATTTTTCTTTCAGATTTAAAAATGTGCACTTTGTGACCATTCCTTCCAGCTGTTATAAAACAAAATATCAGTAAATAGTAGGTGGTAAAATAAAATTTAGATATTTTTAATAGGTATAAGTTCTGTTATTTTCGAAATCGTCATTGTTTAAGTCTCAGAATATTGTTACTTATTTAAAATATAATAATAAAATATTGATCACATATTGTCTGGTATTATTATAGACCCAACTTATTCAAATGACAAACAATCTTGAATAAAAGTTCGATTGGATTAGTATACTTAGGGTTTTCTTTTGTACATTGACACCCCCTTTATCTTTTTTATTTGACGTTTCCGAAAACTGTCTCAAATGAAAGTGGTTTTGAATAAATTTGCCAAAAAAGTCTATTTCGCATATCCAAAGTGCTTCAAAAAATCTGGGCGTGGTTCAACTATCTTATTTCAAATTAGGTATAGGATATGCTACATAAAAGTAGTTAGGATTTTTAGGAGAAAATAAAAAAAAATAAATAAAAAATTGGGTACTAATTTGAAATAAGAAAGTTGGGCCACGCACAGGATTTCTAAGGCACCCTGTATATGCAAAGAAGACTGTTTTGAAAAATGTATTCCAGACCATTAAACTTTTATTCAAGACACTTTTTTCGAAAACGTCGAATAAAAAAGATACAGAGGATGTCAATATATATACCTAACCTAACAAACCCTGTATATGCCGGAGGAGTAATAATTGCTCAATATTTGTCTGTTTCATCTTGGCTCTGCCAAAAATCGTAATCGTAAAAATCGTAATTCTTACCGCATTTTGGTAGCTGTATTAGTCAAAAGATGATTTTTCCATTTTATGAATCCCCCCCGCCACCCCCAGCCAATCTCAAGTCAGCCAAAACTAACTGGGTTCACGGGCTACTGGCATAGAATGTTTTTACCAAATTTGAATGAAATCGTACAATAGAAGAATTTTTGCAACATACTTCTGGATTTTTGCCCACTGTGCGGCGGGCGGTTGGATAAGCATTTTTTTCCGTTTCATAGTCGATCTCCGGGCGAAGAAAATAGTTACACTTTTATTTTTTTTGTTTTGGTTTCTATAAACTAAACTTGGTAACACTTTTAGAATAATTGCATAAAGGGTGATTCCTGTAAGGCGGTCATGCTTTCGGGGAATGATAGGGGACGTCGAAATATTAATTTTGATATAGCACACTATGGGTCGGAAATGCCTCTTACGCAAGATACAGGGTGTTAAAGTTTTTGAAAAATTAAAGATGGCGTTGATGTGATACGCATCGGGTAATTTTTTCAAAAAAAAATAGTACGCCACTGTTAAGTGAGTTTTTTTATTTACTATACCGGGTGCGTCTCAAAGGTGGCTCACCCCTATTTTTTTTCTGATAAAATCTTTAGATTTGGTATGTTAGTATATGACATAAAATAAGATTGATTGACGTATTCAATTGTTTTTGGTCACTTCCTGTTTCGCCGGAAATGACTACAACTCTTGATTTTTTAATGGCACCCTCGGTATTTTTTTACTTCATTCGATAGAAAATTACATTCTGAATAGAATGACATATCACATGCCAACTTTTGACATTTTTGCTTAAAACAAAATTGAATTTTAAATTTCAATTTAGAGTACCATGGCTGTGTTAAAAACACTAATTTTTAATCAAGGAACCTTGGAAAAATAGATGTGATCGTCTAATGTTATTCGTGTCTTATCCTGGCTGGTTAAAAGATGCCCAAATCGTATTTTTAATCATATCTCATTTTTTTTCAAATGAAACGAGGGTGGCTCATTGGCATATTCAGAAAAAGCATTACGAATAATTTGGTTACACACGTAACGTGTGGTATTTCGAGTCAAATAATTGTCGTTATGAATCGCATGTTGCAATTTCTTAATGAGAATCTTAAATACAGCGAATTATTATAACTAGAGGGCAGAAACACATGTGCATCGTTAGATCCCTTCATCTTGGGTAACTTTGGTACTTTTTACTATTAGCTCTAAATACATTTTTAAAAAATTATAAATTTAAACTAGAATTTTTTTTATTGTTAATAATAAAGTTCTTAGTTTTAAGGTAGTTATAATAATTCATATATTTAAGGTTCTCATTAAAAAAAATATTTATTTTTAAATTGTGACAAAATGGTGTTAGATAGAAGAAAGTTGCAAGAGACATTTTTTCTTGGAAATAAACCGAGTAAATAAAAAAACTCCAAAATGTTTATTTTTATCAGTGGAGTACTATTTTTTTGAAAATATTACCCGATGCGTATCACAGCTACGCCACTGGTTTATACTAAAACCTCTTCTTTTTACATTTAAAGTGTCTTTGTTAGGTAGACTCCTATAATAAATTTTATAACGATACCTTCAACTGTTAAAAAACTATTAAAGAATATCTTTAATTTTTCAAAAACTTTAACACCCTGTATCTTGCGTAAGAGGCATTTCCGACCCATAGTGTGCTATATCAAAATTAATATTTCGGCGTCCCCCATCATTCCCCGAAAGCATGAGTCGCTTACAGGAATCACCCTGTATACAGGGTTGTTCACCACATACGACACGGAGTATTGTAGCTAAACGATGAGATTTTTACAAATTGTAAGTTTTGGGTTCGATGAAGGACTATTAGAGGTACAATTTAAAAATAATTTTACAAGATACAGAGTGTCCCAAATAAGTAAAAAATTTCAAAGTTGTATTTTTTTAAAAGGAACACCCTGTATATTATTACATTTTTAGTTTCTACGATTAAAATAAAGGTAAATTTGATTAAGGTTTATTATACTTAAACCTTACCGTTTTTTAAATATTTTCAATTTTGTGAAATTGCAGTAAAAATTTTAAGGCTTCATTTCTCCAAGGGTATCAAAGTTTTTAATACTAAATATTTACTAAAGTTTATTTACTGATCAGTTATTGTGTTGCAATAATAAAAATAATACTACCTTATACAGAGTGTCTAAAAATTTATTTTAAATAATTATTAGCTTCAAACGGCAATAACTTGTTTAATTTAAATGGAACACCCTGTATATTATACGAGAATCAGATGCACAATTTAATTGTCTATCAAATTATATTATACCATTTTTTACCTATTTCTTTAAGTTTCCGTAGAAAATTTATTTTCTTGTAATTTAGAACTTATTTATCAATATATCCATGGACTATTGACATTTTAGATTATTTTTAAAGATGTATCAAATTTTTAAAGAGTACAGATACTAATATTGTCGATATAATTCGTTTATTTCATTAAAAAATAAAAAAAAACTGTTCAAATATTTGTTAAAGAGGACCAATTAATATGATCCAGTATTCAAACTACATTAACTGACTGTTTGCATTGATTAATAATAATTGCTCCAAATACTAAAAAACTGAATTTTGTATGGGCATTAGACAGTGTGATAAAAAGTAACACCTTAAAAATGATATTTCATTTTTTAATAAATGCTTATTTATAACAACAGAGACTTTAATTTATAACTTATTATTATATTGATTTCTGACTCAAATCCACATTTATTTATAATAATTTATTAACGAACACAATTAAGTATGTAATTAATTAGTATATGGGCGGAAATAATGGTGTTATATTTAATTAATAGTATACTCTTTATAAAGATTTAAATAGTTTTCTTTTTGAATATTAATGGGCTAGTAATATTATCGTTTTGCTAAAAACGATAATATTACTAGTCTGTACATTTTGTACATTTGTTGCTTTAAAAACAATCTAAAATGTCAATATTCCATAGATATATTGATAAATGAGGTCTAAATTATAAGAAAATGCATTTTCTACGAAAACTTGAAGGTATAGGTAAAAAATGGTATAATACAATTTGATAGACAATTTAATTGTGCATCTGATTCTCCTAAAATATACAGGGCATTCCATTTAAATTAAATAAGTTATTGCCGTTTGAAGCTAATAATTATTTAAAATAAATTTTTAGACACTCTGTATAAGGTAGTATTATTTTTATTATTGCAACACAATAACTGATCAATAAATAAACTTCATTAAATATTTAGTATTAAAAACATTGATACCCTAGGAGAAATGAAGCTTTAAAATTTTTACTGCAATTTCACAAAATTGAAAATATTTGAAAAACGGTAAGGTTTAAGTATAATAAACCTTAATCAAATTTACCTTTATTTTAATCGTAGAAACTAAAAATGTAATAATATACAGGGTGTTCCGTTTAAAAAAATACAACTTTGATATTTTTTATTTATTTGGGACACTCTGTATCTTGTAAAAATATTTTTAAATTGTAGCTCTAATAGTCCTTTAACGAACCCCAAACTTACAATTTGTAAAAATCTCATCGTTTAGCTACAATACTCCGTGTCGTATGTGGTGAACAACCCTATATAATAAATTTTTCGTATACTCGCTATTTAAGCCCGTGTATTTGTATTTGCCGGTTGTTTAGGATATTCTCCAATGGTGGCCACTGGCGAAGAATGCACCAAAAAATAAATCATTTTTTTTTTAATTTTCAAACTTAATAACTCGGTTATTTTGGACCTATTTGAAAAACGACAAAGAGAAAATATGAATTTTTTATCGAGATCTACCAGCCCTGAAAATATTTGCACTTCTTTAAGACTCACCCTGTCGAGTTACTCTTATTTAAACCTTACCATCGATATTAAAACAATTCGAAAAATCCATGCAAAGTAATACCAGTTGTTCTTCATTCGTTAAGTCAATAATCTTTTCATGTAAATGTTTGATATCAACTTTTCTATTTAAGGATATATTGACCACTTGCAAATTTAAATCTCCAATTCCAAAGTTAGCTATTAATGCTTCACAACTAGGTTTTGTTTCCACTGGGCCTTCCATTAGCGATATCAATTCTACATCCATTACTGTAAAGAAAAAAGCTTGTGAAATCAACGTATTGGAATTTATATTGCTATATATCGAGTGTTTTTCAAAAGTGGCTCACCCCTATAACTTTTCAGATAAGAAAGTAAGAGTTGATGAGTGTGATTTGGTATGACATAAATCAGGATTGATTGTCGTATTCAATTAGTTTCGGCCACTTCATATTTCGCCGGAAATGACAACTTCTTTGTTTTGCTTTTCAAACCCGTGATTGTGCAGATAAAAAATTGGCGCCGGGAGGCACGTATAGCCGCCCATACTAAAATATGTTAATAAAAAGTTGGTAGGCAGTTCTTTTAGTTTCAAAGTAAAGGAATTTTTCCAATTTTGGTCCAAGGTTATTTCTCCTATCCGCCACCTGGGGTCGCGTCCGATGGGAGTTTAGAGTTCTCCACACGGATTTTCTCAAAAACGGGCGACGGAAACACGGAATATCTCAAAAACTGCGACTTTGACCGATTTTGATGTTATTACAAATTTTGTTGCAAATATTATACCTAATCTTAAATTGAAAACCGCGTTTCGCTAGCTACTGTACCCAAGTAGCATTTTCACGACTTGCGACCACATGTTTACTAAACACAACGTTGGATTAGTTACAAAAAATAGTTAGCTCCCTACCTTGGGTATTAAAATAAATTTCAACGTTTTTATAACGTTGTGCCGACGTTGGACTAGTACTACAGCAAAGAAGAAGCTTCTGCGACGTCGAATAAACGTTGTCCTGTAACCTTTTTGGCTTAAGTGATATTTAGGTGATTCCGACAACGTAGTTACAACATTGGACAATATAGAGTTTTCCGACGTCAGTTTCAGGACCTATTCCAACGTTATGCAAACGTCGTCTGTTTTACTAATTCCAACGTTGATTAGATTTCCTTATTCTTACGTTGGTAGGACGTCGAGTCACTACCTTTTTGCAACTGTATTGAACCATAACCTTATATCTTAAATTTTCACTTCATTGTTCTGTTCAGTCAGACAGTTCAGTGCTGTTTTTGTTTTTTTTTAAAAAAACTTAATTAAAATGGGACATAAGAAAGGTACATATAAAACTAAATTTAAATATACATCGACATATATTACTGATAGTATATCCACTCCCTCGTTTATTTAGATTATAGAGGGCGGCACAAGCTAGACTCTAGGATGACTAAATTAGGCAATCTTGCGACTAGTATACTACCTGTTAAGGCCGAACTGCGACTTTATTAGTCTTTATTATGCGACTACTTGAACTACTCCATCTTAATCTCCAAAACAACAAAGTGAAAGCCGCCATGTTGTTCAATAAGAAAATGTTTCGTTCCTAAAATAGCAATTCGTTCATTGAATACATTAACTTGAAATATTATGACCCTAAAACGTAAGAAATGAAAACAATTTTTTTCTTACTGCGAATAAATTATTCTCATTTTACTAAAAAAAATTCATGAAAATTTTAAAAACTTCTTTAATTTTAAGGCCCATTAGTATTTTTCAAAGTAGAAACAATACATTTATCAATAAAGTTGTTTGCGTTTAACTTTTTGCCTTTGGGTAACGAAAATACAGAGTCGTATTAAAGTGTTTCAATAATTATGATCTTCAAACATCCTCCACACTTAAATACTTTTGTTTTGTTTTCCTTCACTGCCATCTGACCTAGGTCTCTAACTAAATCGTAAAAATAATATTTTTACTATAATTATTCCAATTTAGGATAAAACGCGACTTATACGCCATATTAGTTTTGTATTTCTGTGAATTAGGATTTTAAACAACGTTGCAGTTTGTACTAAATTAGGCTTCTAGCCAACGTCGGTATCCAACGTCGTTTCGACCCAAGAACGGTAAACTAATAGGATTGCTCATCCTCATAAGACGTACGTTCGCCTCTTCCCGCGCTTCAGCTGACAGTTGTGACGTCATTGTAGCCCTTTCGTTCCTAAAATAGCCTTGTCATGATAGTGTAATATTAGTTGCCTATGGTAAACTTATAAAAAATAACAGCGGAGAAATTTTGAGTTAATTATTTTGTCAATTTTAAATGTGAAAAAATGTCTTTAAAATTTTTAAAGCTATAGAGTATAAATAAGGTTCATTTTGTGTTTTGGATTGTGACAAACAATACATTTACTAAGTGCCCACGATTTATGTTTATTAATTATTTTAAAGCAAAATATGGAATAACTTCTAAAAGAATGCTTGCAAAAGTGATGCTGGGAACTATAATCTTCAAATGCATTATCCGAGTATTTAATACGATTTATACAGTTAATTTTCTACTGCCATACATATAAGGTGTTTAAATAAATAAACTAAATAATGAACGTTTTGCATTCGGTAACCAATAATGCACGTGTGTGTATTATTGGTTGCCGGATAAGGACTAATAACCATGACAAGGGCTACAATGACGTCACAAAGCGAGTAGTTTTCGCATGCACCTGGCGGACACTTTTGGCTGAATGAGCAGTCCTATTAGGTTAACTGTTCTTGGTTTCGACCCAAAAATTATTCTCTAAACTAGTGCAGACTAGGGTTGCCACGAGGTTGTGCCGACGTTGCGCCCCGACGTTTGGTCGCGTGACACAACGTTGTCCCGACGTCCAAATGCTGCTTGGGTAATTTTGGAGTTACAATTTTTTTAAATTTTCTCCCATATCCCCTTACCAACCCCCCACCCCCACCAAAAACTAATGGCCAGATTCTCGGGTGCCACAGTATTTTTGTGCCAAATTTGGTTAAAATCGGTTTAGCGGTTATTGAGTTATCGTGGTACAGACGGACAGACGGACAGACAGACAGACAGACACCATGAAAATATTTTGTATTTAGGTCATTTATGACCCAAATAACTCATTTTGAGTGAAATCACAAAATGCAGAATGTGCTGGCGAAGTTTCCCGAATACAATTCGGACCACCCTGTATAAGGACCACTTATAATATGTAGAAAACTTTGAACTATATCATTTTATTAATTAGTGGTTCAAATTTAAAAAACAAAAGTTGTAGTCATTGCCGGTGAAACAGGAATTGACTAAAAACAATTGAATACGTTAATCAATCCCAAAAGTTTTATACAAATCTTCACATGGTTTACAAAGGTACATATCCTAAAAATATTTTCTTCTATAGAAGTATAAAAATTGTAAGTTTTTATTTAAATTGTTGTAAATTGTTTTTTTAAATTGAAATCCCGATTTTTCTGTGCGGAATTGGGTTCAGTAGAAAATTTTGCATATAGTACACTATTTTCATTTGAAGCAGTATGCGGTGTTGTCATGCTATTTCTTATTTACTAAAACTTTCATTAAAAACAGTTAACCCGAAAAGTGGTTAGAACCGGAAGTAAATAAATCCGTAAAAGAAAATTCACATTATGTTATACAGGGTATTTTTTATGGCGTGGCCAACATTACAGTTAAAATTTTAAAAAGGAGAGAAAAGACTCAAAGCATATACACTCAGATGCAAAAAAAACGCAACGGAGAAGTTTTTGGTCAAATTTAAAGTCTCTCTAAAAAATCACTGCACTGCAAGAAAATCTACAATATAAAATAGTAATTTTTTGTAAACACTTCTGCGTTAAACCTAAACGGACACTGCTTGTCAGAAGTTATGTTTACAGTTATACAAATTTGCCTAACTAACAAAAAAAATGCTTAACGTTTCGGAAAGTTTATCTCTTTCCGTCGTCAGAAGCAAAAAAAATACAAAGAATAAAGAAAAAAACTATTTAAAATATTTAAATTCAACTATTCGAGAACACTACTTTTTTTAAAACAGATACGTCTACAAGAAACTGTTGACGTTCTGTTAAAATGACATTATATCAAGTTTAATTGCCTGGAAACTTATATGGTGAAATTTTGATAAAATAATTTAGTACTCACTAAAAACACGGTATGTCGCTAGAGGTATAATTTTTAGAGGTTACTAGTTTATTTGGTTGCCTGTGATATGCATATACAGGGTGTTTCCTAATTAATCTAAAAATAAAAAATCGTTAGAAAACGGCTTAAAGCTTGATTTTCATGCATCCGTTGTCCGACGATACGATGATACGATATTAATTTTATTGGTTGAATTTAAAGGCTTTGATTGGTTAACCGTTTCTAACCAATCAAAGTCTTCAAATTCAAACAATAAAATTAATATCGTATCATCGTATCGCCGGATAACGGATGCATGAAAATCAAGCTTAAAGCGGGCTCTTAATATGTATATTTATTTTTTTCTCGGCAACCGTTTGATGAACACAAGAAAAACTCAAAGATCAACTTTGTTGAAAAAGCATGGCCAGTCAAGGAAAAGATATATTTTCTTTAAAAAAGCAGTAGTATACCATTTATGTTAAGCAAAATATCGATTTTTTTTTAAATTTTTAACACCCTGTAGATCAGAAAGGAGGTACTTTAGACCCAATGGTTATATAAAAATTGTTTTAAGAACACATGAGGAATCACACCACAATTTTTTAGACTAATTAGAAAACACCCTGTATATTGTCAACTTGATAATGATTGTTGATAAATCAAAAAATACCTTTTCTGTGAAAAAAGCCCGATTTTCGCAGGAAAATTTTTAATTTTTATTGAATTTGGGCCTGGTATGTTTTTTAATATTCTATCTATCTAAATTTTAAATATCATAGTCAGAAATAGTTTTATTATTTATTAACTGTAAAAATGGTATACTTATAAGTTTTATCAAATATTGTGATTTACTTTCTACCTTGTAGTCAAAATTTATATTTAATAAACTGTAAAATATATATATTCTTATGTTTTATTAAAGTTACTCTGATATACTAATATGTCAGTGTAACTTTAAATACTAAATCCTTTGAAATCAAAATATAAACATAAAAAAATATATACAGCAGAAAAGGCGAAAGGCGCTGGGTTAAACGTAGTCTCTACTAAGGATACGGAGGCGCTTTGACCAAAATTTTACTATTAAGTTTCATATCTATCTTAATAAAAGATTTTCTT